GATGATAATCTTAATGAAATTGTTTGTCCACCTTTTTAGTATGAAGAAAGCATAATTTTTTTTTTTTTTTTTTTTTTGCTTCAAAACTTTTTCATTTCATCCCTATGAAAATTTTATAAGTTAAATATTTTTAAGCTAGCACCGATGTGTTACTCTTTCCACAATGCATGTGTCATTAGTACAAAAATAGTGACTATACCTGGATCAAGTGGCTAGCGCGTCGCGCAGCTGCACCACAGGTCCGGGGTTCGATCCCCGGGCTGGGCAAGGTTGACAAAGCCTTTCATTCCTTGAGTGGGTTGATAAAAGTTGCAAGTTCGCTTGTGAACTAAACACTGGAGGTCCAGCAACCACTTGCCCGGGGCATATGTTGATGCATTCCGGGCAACCCCTCCTTACAGAACGTCCGGAAAAGGTCTTTTGTAAGGAGGCGTTACTCCGGGGCCCAAAGGTCAAGAAAGCAGGAAAAGGACACTGCAGACCTTGGCCCACTAGGGCTGTTGAACTACTGAGTTAAGTTTATACCTGAATCAAATAATAAATAAACACCTAAATGAAACAGTCTGTGTCTAATTTCACATGAAAAGGTAATGATATTGTTAATAATAATGATGGTAAAAATACTGAAATGACTGCTAAATAAAAATGCGTTAATCAGCAATGATTAACCCTTAGAGATATAAAGATTCATGGCCTTAGCGGGCTTTAGAGAGGCGCACTTGCACTCCCTAAAACTAAAATTTAAAAAAAAAAAAAAAAAAAAAAAAAAAAAAAAAAAAAAATATTGACCATAAAAGCTAGCGAAAAGTTTTTTAGCTTTCTTATTTATTCTGTCAAAATTTTTTTCTACACGAAAACTCCCAGATCAAAAATTTCAATCTTCTCCAGACATCATAGTTATTACATGGAAATAACTAACAGTGGAAGTCGACATAACCTTCTGTCTTCGCTCTTCGTAGATATATATAAGGATATAGATCAGTAACATGTAATTAACTGAAATTTCAAAAGTTCCTTATAGACAGCATTGCCTTTGTGTTCTATCAAATGTTTCCTCAGTACTCTTCTTCGGGGTCAAGGGAAGGTTTCTTTGTGAAAATAATAACGATGCAGTTTAAAAGCCTTATCTGTTTATTGTGTAAAGGGAAGAGAGAAGGAAATTGCTGCATTTCGCTCTCTAATTTCAGTCATTATGGTAGCTGACGGTAGAATACAACTGTTGTTAAAAAGTAAAAGAAACTAATGCTGATTTTTCTATTACTATTTTCAAATATTTCGAAAATCATTTGAACTTGGAAGTCAACGATTTTCCGTCAACCAAGAATATACGTTTTTGAATCAATAATCAGTCTATTGATTACCTTTCCCTAAGTTTCTATTGTTAAGAATTTTGTATTTAGATTTGTAATATTAGCCGGAGTATAATTAAAATTGTTGTATTTTTCTGTGTAATGTAGCGGGAGATAAATTTTAAAAGAAAGCTATGTCGGAAAAGTAAAAATATAGGGGCATATGGATTTAACATTGAGTAAATGAGTATCTGAATAATTTGTATTGAAATATAATAAATGTAATTGACCACTATATTAGCTGTAACCGTAATTCCACCCTCTTATTGCTTTCCAGTAATTTCGAGAAGCGGAAAGTACTAGAAATATCTTACGACCGCTTAAAACCTATTTAAAGCCGAAAAGAGAGCATCTGCTGTTAGTTGTTTAGTTAACTGCTGTTGTTATTGTTGCGAGTTCAGCGTGAGATCGAATTAGCTTTCTCTTTAGATGCGCATTGCATTGCGTTGTATTTAACGTTTTTAGTAGTTTGAGGTATAGCTACTTATTATACAGCGTGATATTGTGAACACTTCTACGAATACCTCTGATGAAAATTCCAGAGTTCTGATATATTTCTTTTGATAAGAATGCATTTTATTATCGAATTTGTGCATTCAATGTATTACTAACCCGTATGCACGCAACAATATTTATCTACAGTACAGTTTTTTTTTGTTTATTTTATCAACCCCAGCACAACGGAAAATAATATAAAATTTAGTTGGCTTTGTTTCTATTTTTCATTCTTCATTCAGCCCACCTAAAAGCAACTTTATACAGTGACTTAGAGTTTAGTACAATTATTCATTTTTAGTGTAGCAAATAATGGATATGAAAAAATTTGGACGTAATTTTTTACTAGCTGCGACGTTTTTTTTTTAAAATTAAATAACCGGACACTTGCAAGTTACTATTTGTAACAAGGACTGGCATAAGACATACAGCATAAAGTAACTGACGACTTACTTAGAATTATTCAAAGCAATGTCAGTTATTGTTCGACTGGATCCGATTAATATTCCCCCCCCCTCAATGGAGGGCTCTATTCATAAGCGTGGGATCGATTTTTGTACTCCAAAGTATTTCTTATTTTCAGCATTCTTCCAGGGATACTTAATGCTGTCTGTTTTTATGTAAGAGAATAGCACAGTGATAAAGAGTTTGAGGTTCCCTAAGATATGGAGGCTTATGCTTGGACCTTGTGGGCCTAGGCAGTAAGCAGGCTTTGTTCTTTGATTAATCACCAAATAGTGTAAAAATACATGGATATATATATATATATATTTTTTTTCAATGGCAGATTGTGAACACCCAGGCCCTTCGGTACCGCAGTCAGGCTTCCCTAACCACTATACCATCTGGGCGACAAATACACGGATATACTTCTTAGATTGTAGAGTCATTAGGATTTTTGAAGTAAGAAACACGAAAAAATGAGCAATGCCCTCGCCGGGACTCGAACCTGGACGTCTCGAATACGCGCCGAGTGTGCTATCGTTACACCACGAAGGCAAGGCCAAAAATGAGGGAGAAAATAACTTATTATATAACTTATTATTATTATTATAACTTATTATCTTAGACTCATAGACTATTAGACTCATAGACTTGTTAGACTCATAGAATAATTATTTTTGTTAATATTACCATAGTTATAAATTGATTTCTGTCAAATTTATTAGACTAGCGTGATTTATAATAAATCGAAACGGAGATTGAGAGAATAGTCGCAGAATTTAGTAATATCAGCACACATTGTTATTAGTTTTGAAAGTATATTATTATTATTACTACTATTATTGCTATTATTATTATCGTCACCGGCCACAGATAAATGGAATTTTGAAGACTATTTCTTCCATGCTTCAACCGAAGAAAGCTTTAGATGCAAATTTGAAGCAATAATACTGACTAAGTAACAGCTTACGGTTCTATACGCGCGTTAATTACATCAAAAATAGCGAAAAATATGAAAGCACATGACTGTAAGAAAAAAATAGTCGAAGCTGAAGATTTGCTAAATTTTGTACTTTCTTTCTGTTTATATTTACATGGTACAAGATAAAAATTTAATTTTAATTCAAAACCCTTCAGTTTTAATTTTTATCTAGAAACACTCCCTTTTCAAGTTTATCATATATGAAACTCTATTTCATTTTAGCAAAAAATTTAATATCTAAACATCAATTAGTTGCCTTTTTGAGAAAATGCTTATTTATTTAAAAATTTTTATCTGTAACATATTTCTCTCTAACCCGCTAGCATTTACTCAAGGAAAATAGTACCTGGAAGCAAATCTTGGCGATATTCTAATATCCGGCAAATCTTTCATTCTTATATAGATTAAGATTCTAAAAAGGGGATTCAAATTTTAGTTAAAATTTAAATTCTTCTGTAAGTTAGATACCGACATTTAAAACTATGCGGCTACTCACAGTGAAGTGTTAAACCTCTTGATCCAAAGATCACTGTTCACAATTGAACTAAAATATCTACTTTTGGAATACCGTATGTATGTATGAAAAATTTCAGTTAATATCTGGTCGGCAGTTGAAGATTTGATCCAAACAGACACTGAGTAAATAGAAAGAGTAAAATAAAATTCCGTTTTGATTTGTTTTCGAAATGCAAATTTATATAAATGGAGATCTGTTTTAGAAATAAAAATTTATAAAATAAATTTGATATGATTTTTTTTAATACTTACACACAGTTCTCAATTTTCGAACCATTTGTAGAGACATTAGGTTACAGATGAGATGAAAAATGAGCAATACCCTGGCCGGGAATCGAATCACGGACCTCTCGAATACTCGCCGAGCGTGCAGACTACCACACTACGAAGGCACGCTAAGAAGGCAGGAGAAATACCTTATATACTCCCCCCTTTAAAGGGCGTTTTGGGATGAGGGGAAGCAGTCGCCAAATCCTGGCGGTGGAGGATCGTAATTCACCAGCTTTTTTTTTTTAGTTCAGGTGACACTGTAAAGACATTAGATTATTTCGAAATTTACTTACTTTTGAGTGTTTCTTTCCTATCTTAATTATTGTGTTGTAGTTCGATTGTGTATATATTTTCTTTAGTCTATTTGTTAATTTTGGAAAAAGAAATTGTATAAGTAATTTTTCAGCCTTTCTTCACATAAAGTTTCATTTATGTAGAATAAACTAAACTTTTTACACTGGATAATAGTCAGTGATTCGGTACACAGAAAGCGAAAATGACAGTCCGATACTTAAATTAAGGAAAAATTAGAATTTTGAAAAATATTTTTGATTCTTGAAAAAGGAGGTACCCCGTACCCGTCTAGCTTGAAATATGCAACTTTTTCTATAAAGGCCTAGCGTCAATCTAAGGCTGAATTTTACTTTAATGTAAAAATCATAATGCAGGACTTACAAAGATTTATATACTAAACCATAAAGCTAGCCATCAGGGAAAAAATAATACAAGCGTTGTCGTGTTCCAAAGGCATACCGCAAACTCAAATGACAACATGAACAGAGGAAAAAGATACTGTTAACCTTGCAAAGTGTTTTTCCCTATTGTATTCAGAAAGGAAAACTGACAATAAGATTATGAAATTTTTTCCTTCTTCTTAAATAGAATAATCTGCGTTTTTTGTATGAATTGAAAATTCTTTTACGGTAAGCTTACTACATTGAACAAGGTTAATTAGTAGTATATCGGTGATAAGTATATCAGAAGGGTGCATCAGTGATAAGTGCTATATCAGAACACAGTACAAGGGTCTATCAGCGATAAGTATATCAGAAGCACTGGAAATATTTTATGCATGAGAGGTATAGTTCTAAATGAAACCTGCAATTTTAGCCAGAAGGTATATTTTATGATTTTGGTTTGAGAGCATGGCTTACGATCCGAATTTAAACCTTTTAAAACGATCAGTGAAGGAATGGTGTCTAAATTACCAAATAGCTATTATTTTAGCTATATGTCTTGTATTGATCTTGCCAAATGGGTTACAATGGCCTTTGTTTTACCTAGGCAGTATTCTGTTTCTTACAGTAAAAATAGCTGACGTGGTGAATAACTTGAAGTCTAGAGACAAGATCGTGCCAAACGGAAAGTGTGTTTTTATAACAGGTAATAACCATTTTCATATTTTAAAATTAAGCTTATTCTATGTTGTGCATCTAGAAAATAATGAAGGATTAGTTCACTGAAAAACGAAAGGTAGAATAGATGTACTTATGTACTGATGTGTTTTATAACCTATAATAACTATTTTCATATTTTAAAATTAGCCATATTCTATGATGTGTATCTAGAAAGTAATGAATGATTAGCTCATTGAAAAACGGAAGGTAGAATAAATATACTTATTTATTGATGTGTTTTTAATAACGGATAATAAGCATTTTCATTTTTTAAAGTTAACCTTATTCTATGTTGTGCACCTAGAAATAATAAATGATTAGTTCATTGAAACACGGAAGGTAGAATAGATATACTTACATACTGATGTGTTTTTATATCAGGTAAAAATCATTTTAATATTTTAAAATTAACCACATTCTATGTTGCGCACGTAGAAAATAATGAATGATTAGCTAATTGAAAAACGAAATGTAGAATAGATGTACTTATGTACTGATGTGTTTTTATAACAGGTAAATGACCATTTTCATATTTTAAAATTAACCTAATTCTATGCTGTGCATCTAGAAAATAATGAATGATTAGCTCATTGAAAAACGGAAGGTAGAATAGATATACTTATTTATTGATGTGTTTTTAATAACAGGTAAAAAGCATTTTAATTTTTAAAACTAACTTTATTCTATGTTGTGCACTTAGAAATAATAAATGATTAGTTCATTGAAACACGGAAGGTAGAAGAGACATACTTATGTACTGATGTGTTTTTATATCAGGTAAAAAACATTTTAATATTTTAAAATTAACCACATTCTATGTTGCGCACGTAGAAAATAATGAATGATTAGCTCATTGAAAAACAGAATGTAGAATAGATGTATTTATGTATTAGTGTGGTTTTATAATACGTAATAACCATTTTCATGTTTTAAAAATTAACCTTATTGTATGTTGTGCACCCATAAAATAATGAAGGATTAGCTCATTGAGAAATGAAAGGTACAGTAGATATACTTATGTACTGATGTGTTTTTATAACAGGTAATAAGCATTTTCATATTTTAAAATTAACCTTATTCTATGCTGTGCACCTAGAAAATGATGAATGTTTAGCTTATTGAAATACTTAAGGCAGAATAGGTATACTTATGTGCTGATATGTAATTATATATTGAGAATTTAAAAATAAAAATTGCAATATCTTTAATATGTATATACGTTAAACACAACGTCTTACGTTTCGCTTGGCTCCATGTATATAGGGTGCTTGACAAAAGTATTATTTTCGTAAATATTGGCTATTTGTTTCGATACGGCATTTTGGGTCGAATCACTTTAAACGTTCGAATCGCTTTTCAAATTTTTGTCACCAAATATTATCGCCCTGTATTGCATTTGAAGAAAATAAATAATGAAGAATCTACATGAAATGAATGTATGTTTCTCTTATTGTCAAAACATAACGCTACCTAGAGTCAACAAATTCTGAATAACATAGCCTTCCACCCGAACATAGGAACATGGAAGACCGAATTTGGAATTTGTTTTATTGTCTATTTCATATTTTGTGAAACATAAACGAATTTTTGATTAAAAAAAACTCAACAATTTCAAAGTGAGCAGTGGCAATACTATAAAGTATAAACCCTTTTTATCTCCAGCGCGCGAGACTGTCTATCGGAAATTCTAAAGATATGTTATTTTTAAATATTTTCAGCAGTGTTAGCCCAAATGCTCTGGAAACGTGTATGTGTCTGTAAATGAAAAACAAAATGCTCGTTTGGAAGCAATATATAATCTGAAAGCTTTCAGATTTTTTTTATTTTAGTTACATTCAAATTCAAATATTTTGTCTTTAATTTTATGTACGAAACCTTAATTTTCAGGCAACATGATCTCATACTATAAAATTAATCGGCCAAGGTAATCATTTCTACGTCAAGTTTCATAGTATAGGGATCTTCCACTTTTTAGAAAGAGAACTTTTACGAATTATAACTTCATAAACCGGCAGACCGAATAAAAAATAAGATTCCCTAATTTTTAGAAAACTGGTTTTTTATGTTAAAAAGTAATGCAAGATAAATATTTTCATTATCTAAAACATTACCGCATTTGAAGAATAATTCTACAACAAACGGCTTCGAAAATAAAGTCCACGTGAAGACCTTTATGGACAAACCGTAAAGACCGACTCAGAGAATTTGTACAGTCTTCATATTTATGACCTCACGCATGATCTTCATATCAATGCTTAGTGCAATGATATGAATGGTTGTATTATTTCTTTTGTTTCATCTATTGCCATTAACATAAGCTTAAAGAAATATGACTCAGTTTGAGAAGATAAAGTTTGAGAAATGTTTGCTTGGTATATATACTTTGTTTTTCTCAAAGATATTAGTTCAAGAATTTTTTTCTAGTGACCAAATAGTTGAAAATTGAAGCATTGATTACAACTAATTAAGCTTTGCCAGAGTTATTCATTGATTCATCAGTTTTGAAGAAAAACATGAAAATTTATTAACGCCATTGCTGTTACGTTTTCTTTCCTATTTATACATATTTTGTCAACCCCCTTCATCAAAAATTTTACTGTTTATTGTAGAAGTCTAGAAGTTTTAACATTATTTTGTTTTAAATCTACCACACAGTAAAAAACCATCTATAATTACTTAAGTTACCTCCACCGTCGAAAGTTGAAATAATGTTACGCATTAAAAGTGAATGCTGTAATAGTAACAGCGTTTGAAGGAGAAGAAACGTAGGAAACCTGGTTAATCACCAATTTAGATTTAAATGTTTAAACTTTATTTCTTCTAATTGACTCTGTGGTGTTGAATCTGTATTTAATTCTTGCTATATTTATAAACATAGAATATTTTTCATCTTATATGCGATTGGTTCATATGTGTTTTCATTCTATATCCATATGCAAATTGGCAGGTTTTTTTTTTTTTTTTTTGTTATTTTATTCTGTTTCTGAGAATGCAGAGAAATAAAGCCGTTGAGGTTGTAATAATTCAATGAACGATATTTGCCTTTTTGACTGTTGTACAAATATAACTCCAAACTATTTGTAAATCACAGCAGTATCACTTCTCAAACGACTCCTGAAGATTAGCCACGAATAATAAAAGCCTTTGATTTTAAGTATGATCTCCTGAACATGTTGTTTAGGCTCTGACATACTTTTGTGCTGTTGTGATTTATCTCACTTGTCTAACAGTAACATCAGGACAAGCCTACGAAATTCATCGTGGCGAGGAGAGCAAGATTGTGTCTGTCATTGGCTAGAGCACCATACACGTGACACCATACACCTTACACGTAACAGCAAGACTTTTCTCAGTTTCGTCCCAGTTTTGAAAGAGAGCACCCTGTGGGGACGAGTTCGAGAGTCTCTTTTCCTTCTTACCCTACCAGCAACTACTCGAAAGGACTTTCGGCTCCCCGCATAATTAGAGTGCCTCCCTGCCGCAAAGACACTATACATTTACAAACATACATACCTTCTTTGAGATTCGAACTCGGGCCCTATGATATAGCAGTAGGCTCCACTAACAGTCTGGGAGGTTCTGAAATAACTGATACCAGCAGTGCCACTGTAGAGCTATTAGGATTTTTTGAAGCAGAAGACGTGAAAAATGAGCTCTGCCCTGTCCGGGACTCGAACCTGGACCTCTGGAATACACGTCGAGTGTGCTACCGATATACTACGAAGGCATACGGAAAGGAAGAAGAAAATATCTTATAGCAATTATTAGTGTAGGAAGAATCCCTCCTGATATCTGTTCGTGATGTGATGTGTTAGTGATACGAACTTGAAAGGAAATAGCTTCCGAATGTAATCATTATTCACTGTATTGCATAACACTATAAATCCTCAAAACATAAATATCCAATGCAAAAATTCAATAAATTTCCTTCAGTAAATACAAAAGATAAGGTTCATGTGAAAGGAAGACTTTATTTTGATTTGTTTTGACAATATTAACATAATAATATCCGAAGTTTCTTTTTTCTTCTTTATGTTTTTCAAAATGCCTTGATCAAACTTTCAAAGCTGAATGCATTTCTTTCAAGAAACGGAACTGGCTCTGCTGAAATGATGTTGCTACGCAAATATCACTGATATTTTGAAACAACCTAATTTTCAAACCTTTTAATATCTTGAGACAGTATTTTATTTGAAAGTGAGGATTACTTATAGAAATTGTAATTTATCTGAAAGAATGGCTGATATTATTTGTATCTGTCTACCATTTCCAAATGTCAGTATATAATGAATGTTGAACTTCCACAGGTTTCCCCAGATCGTGCCATTCTGCTTCTACGAAATTAAAACTTTCTATAATTTACAAGTAAAGTTTGAAAAATTCCTTTTTTAAAAAAATTAAACGAAAACATAAGCATATGATTTAAAATATCTATTTTTAATTCCTTGTTCGAAGTAAAGGAACTATTGTAATCGCGGAAAATTTCGGGTATCATATTTCAAAGAAAATGTCCATTTTGCCTGCTATCCAATGCAATTGAACGATGTTTTTGCGTAACGTCTGTGAGTAAGGACAGAACAAAGGCTTCTTTTCCCCAAAACGGATTGCAAAATCGATTTAAAATGGATTCAAAAGATAATTTTCTTGTGACGTCTTGTACGTACGTAGGCATGTATGTATGCATTTCGCATAACTCAAAAACGAGTAGCCTCAGAACGTTGAAATTTCGTATATGGTACTGCTATAACATGCAGTTGTGCACTCCCCTTTTTGGTTGCAATCGGCTGCACCATCATAAACTGAGCTGCCCGGTGACTCAGTTTTTTACTTCCTTGTACGAAGTAAAAAGGAAGTATTGTAATCACGAAAAGTTTCCGGCAGCATATTTCAAAGAAAATATCCATTTTGACCGCTATCGAATGCAATTTAACGATGTTTTTGCGTGATATCTGTACGTAAGGACAGAATAAAAGACCCGTTTCCTTCAAAAAAATTATAAAACTGCTTTAAAATTAATTCTGAAGAGAATTTTTCGTGGCGTCTGTACGAACGTATGTACGTACATGCGTACGTACGTATCTCGCATAACTCAAAAACGAGTAGCCTCAGAACGTTGAAATTTTGTATATAGGACTTCTATAACATGTAGATGTGCACCTCGTATTTTGGTTGCAGTCGGTCGCACCAAACGTATATAAATACTATATTTATATATCGACTCTGTTACTCGGCACAGTAATCTCAGTTTCTTTACTTTTATATGTTTGTAAATTGTACATTTTTTGCTTTAAAAATGATTGAATTATATTGTTCTTATCTTCCCGTTAAGGTTTTTATGCCTTTCCTAATTCTGGAAGCAATATTTGTACAATTATAAACAATTTTAAAGCTGTTTAAGTGCGGTAAGTTTTAAATAACATGGTGGGCATATTTGTTTACATTTGAAACAGCAGAATTGTAGATTTGTTGCCAATCTAGAGAGACTAAGCTTCGCAACAACAAAAATAACGCCTTCATTTATTATTGCGAATTAAATCATGCTTAATCCTTTCTGGAATTTTTTGACTTACTTAATTTTTAATAATTAGTAATTTAATTTTTAATACAGATATTTTGAGCTTTTATGTATTTTTGTCTTGTCGCGAAGTGAAAACTGAATTAATTGAATGAGAATACTCAATCGTCTGTGAAAAACTGTTTTTTTTTTTTTTTTTTTTTTTTTTTTTTTTTTTTTTTTTTTTTTTTTTTTTTTTTGTTTGCTTAATTTCTTTTTTACGTTCTAGCTTTATAGAGAAAACATGTGGCAACGATTAGATAATTCTTTAAATGATACTTTTTGGTGCACTCTGAGTTATATATGAATGAAATATAATACTGTTAAGTGAGCCTAGTGCCAGAGTGTCGCTATGTTAAACAAATAGAGTGAATTTTAAAGAATGCCTTTATTCTATTGTGGTTTATGCGCTGTCGGCGAAGTAGGTTTAATTAAATCCAATAAGTTTAAAAGAAATGCAAGAAACAAATGCGTATAATTTAATATTCCGTACAAGGAAGTCATGTGGTGTACACATCAGATTTTTTTATTATTATGTTGGTAAATTGTGCATTTTTTTGCGTAAAAAATGATTGAATTATGTTCCGGTTAATGCGTTTATGCCTTTAACTAATCTGAATTAATTAAATAATTATAGAAATATCTATAATTTAAAAGTTGTTCAAGTGCGGCTATGCCTAACTTAGAAGCCATATTTGTTTGCATTTGAAACTTAGGAGATTAGTGAATTATGTCAGTTTCTGCTCCTTCAGTGTCTTTTTACCTAGTGGGACCAAAAGTAAATTTTCAGTTTTGTGCATCGAAAAATCTGTTTTCTTGCCTACTGGCCGAATTGCTTGTTTTTGGGTAGAAACTCCAATTTTAATTGTAAGAATTGTTTTTTTAATTGCTTAAACTCTATGTAGTGCTTTACGTTTTTCTATATTTTTCGCATTTTAATGAAGATATCTGAGGTTTTTGCCTTGCCGCGAAGTGAGACCTGAATTAATTGAATGAGAAATATAGCTCTAATGAAATTCGAGGAAATAAATAAATGAAATGCAGGAAAAAATGTGTATAATTTAATGGGCCATACAAGGAAGTCATGTGTCCGCATCAGATTTTTACTTGCTGAATGCTGTTCACTAGAAAAATTATCATTCAGACAAAAGGATGTATTAATCTCTAATTATGCACAGTTTTAGAGTAACTTGATAGCTAATTTGTAGAAAAATGTGTTATAAAGTATTATTGATATTATTGTTAATATTATTTTGTAAGCTTTGGGGTCGATTGTCTTCAAAAGAACACTTATGTGGTTGATATTTATGCAAAAAGTAATAGCGGATGTATCTTTACACAGTCCTTTGAGCATTGATTGTTTTTTTATGAAGTTTTTATTTAAGTTATCTCCTACCTATTTCAAGGAAATTTCTTTACTTAAATAAGCAGTTAATATCATAGCAAATTTTTCTATAATATTTCTCCTGCAGTTTAAAGTTTAAACTTATGCATCTAAAATTTTAACTGCTGAAAGTACAATAACACGTAGTTCAGTTCACTAATATTTTTGTTAATATAGTGTTACGGATTTTATATATGTGTAAATAATTTTAATGATATTATATGTGAAATCGTAGTATTTTTTCTATAATGTATATGAAAAGTTTGAAGAGAGCGAAACTCTACTAGAGAAATAAGATTACAGGGGCAGATCTTCTTATTTTAAAACTAATGTTTTTATTACATCACAAAGAATAATTTAAAACGGTAAAAATTCGAAATTTCTCTCCGTATTAATTTGAACTTCCAGAATGCCTACGCGTCTAAAATGAGATATGTTTCAATTTCAGGTTGTGATACGGGATTTGGTCACATGCTTGCAAAAGAATTAGATAAAGAAGGTTTTGAAGTTTTCGCAGGATGTTTGTTTCCTGAAGGAAATGGAGCCAAGGAGTTGCAGAATTACAGTTCACATTCAATACATATTATTCCATTAGATGTGACATCAGAAGACAGCGTTTTTAAAGCCTACCAGTATGTTGCTAATAGAATTAAAGATAAAGGTAAGCACTTAACTTTTGATCTTATTGGGGGCTTTTGTTTAATGTTACATAATGCATACATACATCTGTATACATATGCAAAGGGAATAACTTTGTATCTTTCATTCTAATTGGCCAGTCAATAAAATTCCACTCGCGTTTTTCGACCTCTCGAAAGGGCGACTTACGGTATTTATTTATTACATTCTTATAACGTCCGTAATTTTATATAAAACCATAGTTTACTGTAATAAAATATTTATAATTTTCTGTAGTTTCTTCTATGGATCAAATTATGCCCAAGTGCCGAATTTCGTAACCGTTGCTTTTAGTGCTTTTTTAAGAAGAAGCCCTTAAAATTTTACCTCTGTAAAGTTCATTTAATTAGCAATATCGCTCTTTAACTAAATTTCCTTGCTTTATTCTTTTACAATCAAAAATTTATATTTAATTCAAAATAAATGTCCACGTTTTTTGATTTATTTGAGAAAATTGTAAATTTTTCGGAAAAAAAATTTGAAATATAACCTATCAAAATTTCCCCATAATTTTGAAGTAAATATTTGTTTAAGCACTGGTCAAGAGTATTACAAACTTTTATTGACAAATTACAGATATATTTGTAAATTTAAATATTGAACATGCATGAAGATGAATTCAAAACTGGTGTAGGATTAAAAGGGTTAATGATGCCAAATTCAATTTGAATAAGAGCCTCATTTCATTTTGGAATGTTTACATGTTCTTTTCTCTGCAGTTTGGTTTTCGTTCTATTTCATTTTCAGTAAAATTTAACAAACGGATTCTTACTTACATGATATTTTAAATATTATACACTGCCTTCCTAAAGTTAAGGAACAGCTTGTTTTTCAAAGCTTACCATTACAAAAATGTCAGCAATGTGTAAATTCACAGTTCATATGCATGACAGTAGCGAAGTTTAAGAAAATATATGCAAAACTATAGCTACCACTTTTATTTTATAGAAAAGAATACTTACATAGGAGTTGGAGAAAAAATGCAAAAATTGTAATTTTTGTTCACGAGCGTTGATCTTGTTATTTATCTGCAATAACAAGTTAACAGCTAGGGGTAATAACAGAAACAGCTAGGTTGTAATAACAATAACTGTAATAACAGATAGAGGTGTTATTCCAGTTTTGTGGACAATATTCAGCAGATTCTATCAATGTCCAGGAGAAGTCGTTTGCCCGAATCACTGAGGTAGCGAGCGATCGAATGTATGGAAATGGGGATATCACGAGCTGGCTAGACCTCTCAATATCTCTCGTAGTGTGGTCCACCGTCTATGGAATCAGTTTGAATCCGAGGATTCTGTGCCTAGAAGACATGTTCCTGAGAAACTTAGAATTACAATGTCTGCGGAAGACCGTTATTTAGCTTTTCTGGCGCTAAGGAGGAGTAACATTACTGTGCCTCACCTCATGGCAGATCATTTAGTTGCAACAGGAACAAAAATATCAGCTACTACAGTACGCAGATGCCTACAAAATACAGGTCTGTATGCATGACGACCAGTTGTTTGCGTTCCTTCGACCCGAGAACACAGAGGTGCCCGTTTATGTTGTGCAAGAGAACATATCTCCTGGACCAGTCAACAAAGCTCATCTGTTCTCTTCACATATGAGTCCAGGTTCACATTGGAGAGTGATTCAGGTCTTCAGCTGATCTGGAGAGAACAACGCACCAGATATAACATTGTGGAAAAACACAGTTACAGAGGTGGTGGAATAAGGGTTTGGGCTGGAATCTCTCTGACTGGTGTGAGATATCGAGATGAGATTCTTGAACAGTATATCCGCCCATATGCCGCTTTTATTTGTCCTGGATTTCTTCTTATGGACGACAATGTGCGATCGAGCTCGGGTTGCTGAAGAATATCTTGTCGGTCAAGGTATGGAACGGATGAAACGATTAGCTTAATCCCCAAACCTGAATCCAATATAGCATCTTTGAGACTACCTTGGGAGACAGGATGCTGTTCAAGTCTACTTCCAAGGTCGTTAGATGAGCTTGAACAAGGATTACTCAGTGTCTGGTCGTTGCTTCCCATTTCACTGATCGACGTCTTAATTGACAGCATGGAACGTCGCTGCAGCCAATGTATTGCAGCTAAGGTTGGACACATTCCTCATTAGAACCCACTTTTGTAATGCTATCACCCCATTATAAAAGTGAATCAAAAAAGTGTGATATGCTGTTTCTTCAAGAATGTAGTTCTCTGTCAAGAGTGGATGTTTTACTGTAATTCATGTTTGCGTTGAACTTTTGAAATATTCTATGTCGCATTCATTAAAGGACTATTTAGTGAATGTCTTGTAAATTTCTTCTTTCTATGCTGCTTCTTTCTCAAATTAGACGCAAAAAATATGCTGTTCCTTAACTTTTGGAGGGCATTGTATATAAAAAAAGCCAAACTAGCAGTTTTTGCAGAATTATAACTGTTTTAAAATTTAAGAATGTTATTTAAAGAAACATGATAACTGATTAAATTTGAAAGCAGAACCTTGCTTACTTTCATTGATATAGCGTCTCCATTTTACTTACAAATTTACTTACCTAATATTAAATACAAGACCTGCCCATATAGTAATAGGACAAATTAAAAGACCAAACAATAAAATAAAAAAGTAACATCACAACTGTTGTTAAAGCCAGTTTAAACTTTTTATTTTGTCATTTGCAAATCGAAACTCTGCAGTCATTAACATTTACTGAGAACACACTGCACAAAAAAATTTGCTTCCGAATAATATTGTGACATTGAATTTTATTGCAAATTACGTAAATATGCTGCCGAAATTTTAGAGATGGTTTTATAAGGTATTTCTCCCGCCTTCCTAGTGTGCCTTCGTGGTGTAGTGCTCCTGCACGCTGGGCCGGTATTCCAGAGGTGCGTGGTTCGATTCCCGGTGAAAGTGGTGGCTAATTTTTCATCTTGCCTTCTTCCAAAAAATACCTAATGTCTCTACAATTTGAATAGTATATGGTAATACGTCCTTATTAAGAGCACAAGTGTATGAGTAGTATAGCCGCTTTAAAAGAGAGCGCGAAAGCGTTAAAAACAGTGTCAAAAATAGGGCGCCCTTCACCTTCAAAGAATAGGGAAAATGCGGAGAAAATTCCTTCTTTGGTAAAAGCTGATAGACATGTAACAACGCAGCAGCTTTTATACATGTTTGGGATCTATAAGCTATAGCTATAGGGAAAGAAAGCTATAGGTTACTTTTAATTGAAAATCTGAATAAGAGGAAAGCTTGTGCTCGATTTCTGTCTTGGAGTTCGACAGAACAGCGGGGGAAAAAAAAAAAAAAAAAAAAAAAAAAAAAAAAAAAACAGAAAATCTTGAAGATTTACTGTTTGCTAGTTTGGCAACAATTGCTTAAAGTTTGGTCTACTGGGAGATGAGCTTGGTGTCTACCACAGGACCAAGAAACACAAAGAACTCAATAGAAAGAACCGTCTGCTCTGATATACAGAAAGCACGGATGTTGAAGTCAAAGACTAAGGTGATGCTGATTGGACTTTTTTTTATTACAAAGGAGTTATTTACCATGAAAGTGTCCTTGAAAATCAATCATTTAATCAGCATTTTTACAAGTAGGTATTTTTTGATTAAGAAACAGTATAAGGCGAGATAGGAAGGAGCGTTTTGATTTTAGGCAATGGTTTCTTTTACACGATAGTGCTAGGCCCCATACAGGATTGTCTGTACAAAAATATCTTGTTAAGCATTTAGTTGTAATGATAAATCCCTCTACATATTCTCCCAACTTATCGCCAGCCGATTGTTTCCTTTTCCGAATCTTAAAATAGCCATTAAAATGATAGAGATTTAAACGTCTCACGCGTTTGCGAGTGGTTTGTTCCAACTCTAAACAGTATTTCGATAACCTAAAGAAACTTTTAAAAATTGTATAAACTCTTCTGGTGATTATTTTGGAGGATATAAATTTATTTGAAGATTAAACTTTTTCTTATTCATAAGAAATTGTCCGGTTAGTTTATGTGGACATGTTGTGTTTTATGCTCAAATGAGAAAGTATTTACGCTGCCTTGTTTTCTTTTAAATGCGTTTAAATTTTGCTATTTAATATTATATATATTAGAAATATGAAAGTGTAAAAGAAAACAGATGTCGAATATGCCAAAAATTCATAACAATTCATCACATAGTATGGTTCGCTATACCAAACTCCATATTTAGTAAATTCAGCTTTTTAAAATGTATATATAGGTATATTTTAATTTTATAACAGTTATTTTAATTTCAAAGTGCTTTCCTACCAATTCTTGTTTCCACTTACAGCTCCCTACCAGAATGAGGCTTTAGAATCTCGTTGAATACAAATGAGTTAGAAGTAGTATTTAAGGAAGGTTCCACTTACTTTATTAGAGAAAGCTAGATAGGAATCCTGAGTAGCGCGTGTTTGCCTTCGGGCTAAATCACTCTTAAAGCTGTTACACTCGCCCGTATATTACGTGGCTTTTGATATTCGCCGGCTAGTTTAAATGAAGAGCCAACTTTGTTAGATACTCGTGTTAGCTTCGGCTTAGTCTCTTTTAGTTAGTTATAATTTAGTTCTTATTTTCTTATTGTGAGTTTAAGCCCGAGTGGAGGCTTTGTTCTAAGCCCGAAAATAGGGCCAACGGTTCACCTTCTTTTGAATAAATAGTGAAATAAAGGGTATTTTAACCCTTCTGGAGTCTGCATCTTTAGTTATTTGAACTCGGCGATAAGTCGCAAACAGTTTACTTTAAACAAAAAGAGTGAGGAACCCTACATATATTTCAGAGAAATACTGTTCTTAATACGACTCCTACTCCAGTCTCGATAAATTTTCAATTACTATGCATATGAGCAATTTTCCAACGTAAAAAAGACTTTTCATTGAAAAATTTATCTTTTATATTTCTGGTGTAAATTCATGCAGAAAACCTACATATATTTCAGACATATGGAACCCTACTTATATTTCAGAGAAATGTGGAACCCTGCATATATTTCAAAGAAATATTGTTCTTAATACGATCCTTCTCCAGTCTCGATAAATTTTCAATTACTATTTATATGAGCAATTTTCCAACGTAAAAAAGACTTGAATTGAAATGCTTTCATTGAAAAATTGACCTTCAATATTTCTGGTGAAAATTCCTGCACAAATGGAATGACTGGATCGCAAGGACTTTTAAATAAAGTCATCATTTTGAAAATCTTATATTAGAAAAGGTGAACGTGCATGCCGTGAGCGCAATCAAGTGATTAATGTTCTCATTTACAGAGTGTTATATATGTAAACTGATGAACATATGCCAATGATTTACTCCAGATATCCTCACCTGTAAACTTTGTTACTGCTTGGAGTTGTAAATACTATGTTACCAAATGTTTGCTTAATTTTTCTCTTCTGGCATGTTTATTCACATAGTTTATACGAACTGTTAAGAAACTAAAATACTAATTCAGTATCCAGAAACAATAAAAAATATCACAATATTTATATTTGTTTTAAATCTGTGCATGGCAACGATTTGTAAAGCAATTTAAAACGGAATCCTAGGTTTTAAACTTTTTTTTTGGAATGCAGTTAAGATGTTATTTTTATATATTTAAAACTGTGAATTTTATGATTCCAATAGTACAATCCATAGGATGTTATAGGCCTTATTATTATAATCCAGTTTTATGATTTACATTCTGTGAGCTGCATTGATGCTAGCTGATGAGTTATTATTCCTAGCGTCAGCAGTGACATCAACATCTTGGTCAATATGATTCAGGAAGGCGAAGAGAAAAAGTAGCCAGAAAAAAGAAGAGAGAAGGAAAAAAATGTGTGTGGTATAGACGAATAGCTAGCTGCAGCTGGCGGTATTATAAAAAATACTTTCTTATCTAGTAAAAAGAAATACTATAAAAAATAAAGAACTTCAAGAATACATTTTATTTTAAATGTTTTGATTCTTCTTTTCTTTCTTTTTCTTTTCCTTCTCAGCCACTAAAAAGAAAAAAAAATGATTATGCTTTAAAATATGTATATGTAGGTTAAAATGAAAATAAATTGACAGTTTCATTATGTATTTATTATTATTCCGCCTGCTTCACCTCTCAATGGGCACTACAGGTCAGTCACGTTATCCTGATCGTTGTAGCAGCAACCGTTTTTGGTTGTTTATCTTTTCAACCTTATTATTGATAAAGAGATTTAACATTAGTGTATTACTTTTGTTGCGTGCTCCAACTTACAATGTTTTGGGTATGTTAGTATAAAATTAGCAAAAAGGGCTAGTTAGTCTAGAGATATTTACATATATACATGAATGGAGGCTTGCTGCCTTTACATTTTGTCAGGGCCTAGACCTGGTTATCTGCTATGATTATATTTCTCTTAGAATAGACATACTCTACGATGGTTCTGACGCACCGCTGTCCTGAAGTAGTAATCCTGAAGAAGGTCTTTGAAGCTATGTCATTCCTGGAGCTGAGGAAGGGAGGCTCTGATGGGAGAAGTGAGTGGACAGTCGTGGATGGAATGTGAAAAGTCTGCTAAAACAGCTGAAGCACCGCAGGAGCATTTGACGTTTTGATGGCAGAACCAGGCGCAGAAGATCTTGCTTTTGGCAGCGACTATGGAGAGTGAGATCTCTGAGTCGATGGAAGGGTGACTTGTGGCTTCTTTAGCTGAAGAGTTGGCCCTTTCGTTACTTTGGGTACCTTGATGACTATGTACATAACATAGAGACACTTGTCTGGAAGAAGACAGGGTAATAAGCACTTCTTTTAATGAGGAGATGTGGAAGGCTTGCGTGTCGTTCTTGTTCAGTGCCTGTAGGACGCTCATGCTGTCCGTAGTAATCCTGAAGAAGGTCTCTGAGGTTATGTGATCCCTGGACAGTTCCATTAAAAAAACGTTTTTAAAACTGGAAGTTTTCAGATTTTACGCACACCCGAAAAGATTTATTAGGGTTGTTACACTCTCGCTGAGCTCGCACTCTACCAATCTGCTCCTAAAAAAACCTTTATTTGATTATAAAATTTCGTAATGCATGTGTGTTAGCATGTCTGTACCCGAAATTAAATTTAAAGGTAACGATTAAATTTTTCGGCAATATATATATTTGAAAGCTCTTTCTACAAACTTTTTCTTTTAACCTTACTCGAACTGTAATAACATTTTCTTAATAATTTGAAATTCTTTTGTTGATACTGTTTTATATTCCAAGAGAAAAGAACATTGCGGAAACAAACTTCCAAAAATTTTAAAACAGAAATTTCTTTCCTGTTAAATTTCCATTTTTTATTCTAGTTCAGTTCAGTGGGTTCCAGTTGTTAATATGAAGTTTTCAGACTTCCAGATAATTTCTTTTTAATCATTTTTTGAAAGTAGCGATCTAGCGATCACTTTTAGAGACGACCATTTTAAACAAGTGATCCCTGCGAGATATAATCTCGCATCCATCCTCGGATAAATCTGTAACTTGTTAGCTTTCAGTATATATATATATATAGTTTAGCGTTCTTCTAGGTAATACATAAATAAAAGCTGTAGGGTAATTTGATCCTTCAAAATTCAAACAAATCTTTTGGGGAAGGAAGGGAAATGTTAGATGTTAAGGTTAGATGAAAAGGAAATGTGAGATGAATTGTGATAGGGATTCTGACATGCTAAAATTACAATTTAATATAACAATTTCGTGCATACTGAAACCTTTTAATCTCGTATTAAATTCGAATTCTTAATCTTTAGAATAGAGATGATAGTAAATCAAAATTAGTTGCTACATTTACTCCGTCCCAAATTAGTTGCTACATTTAGGTCGAAAATTTTGTCCCAAATTAGTTGCGACACTTCGAGTAGGTGGAGTCATAAATTACTTTAGATGCAGTTTAGTAGATCGACAGCAGTAAAATTATACAATGTACTATAATAATGTACTATAATACTATAATGAATATAACTCTGTATACTAGATTTTCTTCTCAGTTTTTACTTTCCATAAATGTAGCACTTATTCTGGGACAATGCTTTCGAAGCAAATTTACAGGGTTCGCACTCTCTTAAGCTACGCCTCATTTTGTAAGGAATCTACCACCAGTATATCAGAAAGATCATGTTAATGTGATTAAGGCAAAGCCTCTAGGGCTGTCTGCCTAAGGGGTGATACCTTCGTGGAGGACGTTCTAAGGAAACTGGCTAGTATACACAAGACATATCACTGGATTTACAATTCATTAGCTAGAATATAGTTTTATGCGACTACTATCCCCCTCCCCGGGTCGACGCAGAGACCTCGGTGAAGCTACTTGCTAGGATCTGTACCTAAGCAGTCTCGGCCACGGGGGTATAAAATTCATGAGCCTGACCGTTCCCGACGACTTTTGAGGAAGGGTTCATCCCGAACTTTCATGAATCTGGTGGCTAAGTCCCCGTAATAAGGGTATCAGTAGCCGAATAACTCCTGGGCCATTGAGCGTCCAGTCACTGCTGTCCTCGGTAGTCTTTGTAAAGCCTGGAGGGATGGACTGCCTGCGTAGTACTGTGCCTGCAGGTTTTAACGACCAGTCTGATCCCCAGTTTATCATTTCCAAGCCATAAGTGAAACCTGAAAACCGGGGCGCAGGCCGTAGCCGTGCTCTAAGAGAAAAATAAAAAAAAGCCTGCCACCTCGGATTGGGAGCCCGGGGTGGTAGCGGTGAAAAATTCTAATCCTCTTGGAAAAAACTTGAATGACGACCCTCCCCCTGACTGATATGGGGGTTTTCAGTTAGGTTCAGTCCATGTAGTGTCAAATAATTAGACAAGGCACGTATCAATACTAATAAGTTATGCGACTACAGACGGAAGAGTCCTTACAAAATGGTACGAAGCTTAAGTGTTGGCAAACCCTGGATTTTTGAAACTAATTTGGTACTGATTTAAGGAGGGAAAGCTTGTTAAGTAAATGTTATTGACTGATAACGCAGCACCCTGAAATTTCTGAAAAATGTTTAGACGAAATCATAAAATCTTTAGTATCAGTAATCAGCACAAAAGTATTCAAATGTAGGAACTAATTTAGGACAGAGGGAGTATCAAATTTCATTCACAAATGAAGGAAATTTTAAAGGTACTTTATTTTTAGAAAATCCTCTCGTGAGCCAAGGAGGACAAGATAGGGTTTAACTCAAGTCTAATGCTGTTGTTGAGATTAATCTCGCTTGTCTAATATCAGAACAAACTCACAAAATGCATCGTGATAAGAAGGCAAGGTTGCGCATATCGTTAGCAAGATTCTTAGACACCATACAGGTGACAGTACGACTGTGATCAGTTTCGCCCTCAACTTAGAAGGAGAGCACCATGGGCAAAAGTGACGGGTCTTAGGGTCTCCCATCTCTCTTCCTCTACCACCAACCTCTCAAGAGGACTTTAATCTCGCATTTTTGAGTTTTCTTATGTCGCACAGAAGCTATACATTTACAACCATCCATGCCGTCTCTGGGATTCGATCCCAGGCCTTTCGATACGGCATTCAGAGTCACTAATCACTATCCCGATTGGGTGGCACTCAAATCTAATTGTTAGCATATAGCATGAGAACGAATAGAAATAGCGAATTTTAATTTAATGCATGCAAACAAGTTGTTTTAGAAAAAATACTTATAAGTTCATACAAAAGAGTAAACGCAAATGACAACTTACGAAGAGATAAATTAAAAAAATCAAAAGATCCTTGTATGAAAGAAATGATCTCAAAATCTTTGTTTCGCTATGAACTCAGACGAAATAATCCAATCCCTTATTCAAAATTGTTGAAGAACTTTTTATTTTACAGGTCTGTGGGCTGTTGTAAACAACGCAGGAATCAATGACGGAGGTGAAGTACTATGGACCGAAATGGGCATCCTAGAAAAAATTTTTGAAGTCAATGCTTTAGGTGTTATCAGAATTACAAAGACGTTCCTCCCTCTTTTATGTCAGTCAAAAGGACGGTTGGTAACTGTGGCAAGCATTGCAGGTAAAGATATTTTACGGTAAAATATAACTTGTTTATCTGAATGTTTTGCTGCCAGTACAAGGTTACATTTAAAGAACTAAACATATATTACGCATAGCGGGTCGTATATTTGGTGGAAAGGATATCTTTATAGAAATTACCTTAGTAAAGAAAGCTGTTGGACATCACGACAACAACCGCCACGAAAATTTCAGAGATAATTAAGCAGGTGAAGAGAACAACAGATGTAAAGCGGGACAATTTTCACAGCTAGTAGCCCCTAGAACAAGATATTTTAGATGCCTTCCAGCAATTTTTGCGGTCATAAACTTAAGGTATTGTGTCACCAATGTGTCCCATGTTACGCCCTTCTAAAATTTGATACACATATGCTGGTAAATTCATGCTTTGCGTTCCTTGTACCAACTATTACAAGATTCGCGACAGTTTGTCACATAAACTAACGAGCCAAAACATTATGACCATCCACGTAATTTTCACTGAACTGGTATGGATGACGTGGAGGGAACGTGATTAAGTGAAAATAGTAGTAAACTGCTGCTGGAGAAGATAAGGAATTATCCTTGCACTAATTTTTGCGAGTGATGGGAAAGGCTGCTTATCTAAGCGCATAAAGGCCAAACTATACAGGCTCGAAAGCTCGGGACGAGTATCTTCGAAACTGCACGACTGGTAGTTTGTTAATGGTCTGCCGTTGTTAGTATTTAGGCAAAGTGGATAAATGAGGTGAAACTAGCAGTACACACCAAGGCGTTGGATGTTCCATGCGTCATCAAAGAAAAACGATGTCGCATACTGTCCCGCTTGGTACAGCAAAATCGGCGCCAGACAGTGATTTAGTGATCAGGACATCAACTGGAATTCATCTTTGTACTCCTTGAACCACTCCAACACAATTCGAACCTTGTGACACGGAACGTTGTTCTGCTCGAAGATTCAATTTCCAGTTGGGGAGATAGACGCCATATTAGGGTGCAACTGATCCGCAGTTCTGTTCAGATAGTCTGCAACTTTTATGGTTGTTCTAATACAACAAATTATCTCAGAACCACCCATGAGAACGTCCGCCAAAGCACAATACTGCCACTACCAGCCTGTGTATGACCTGATGTACAGGAGGGGAGCAACTATTCGTCTGGAAGATGGCATACCCTGAGACCACCATAGCCATAATGAATAAGAAATCGTGATTCATCCCCAAAGGCAACTGTTTTCCACTTATCCATGGTCCAGTCTCATCCAAAACACTTGAACGAACTTGGACCTACATTGGATTGGGTGGTTCTGAGATAATTTGTTGTATTAGAACAACCATGAAAGTTGCAGACTATCTGAACAGAACTGCGGATCAGTTGCACCCTAATATGGCGTCTATCTCCCCAACTGGAAATTGAATCTTCGAGCAGAACAACGTTCCGTGTCACAAGGTTCGAATTGTGTTGGAGTGGTTCAAGGAGTACAAAGATGAATTCCAGTTGATGTCCTGATCACTTAATTCGCCGAATGTTAACCTGATAGAGCACATTTGGGATGTCATGGAGCGGCAGCTCAGAGCTCAAACACCACAATGTCGAAATATCTGGACTTTGCTTGATCGCTGGTTAGACATTTGGTACGATTTGTCTCCAGTCGTCTACCAAGAACTTGTGTCATCCATGCCAAGGCGAGTTCCAGCTGTTTTGCGGGTCAAATATTATTGAGTATTAACACGTTATTAAGTAGGTGGTCATAATGGCTATTCAGTGTATGCCCGTGCTCAGTAACATATTACTCAAGCAATTGCAACTACCGTATGATACGAATACGACTTGCCATGTATGCTTCATGTATACACAGCATTGTAACTTCAAGAGAGATTTTTGCCAATTTGTGATTACAAATATTGCGGACACAAGCACTCCTTTATACTTTCTATTCTGGAGGTTACTGGCGATTGCGAAATACCAACTTTGTAAGTGTTTTTTTAATCACATGCTTAATCACTCCAGAATGTTTCATGTCTGTTGTTGTCGAGTAGTCAATCAGAATTCCTTGAAGCTTTTAAAATGATAAAATTAGTTATTTATTTAACTTAACCCGACTTATAAGTGATTATTTTATTTTCGCAATTGTTAGTCCTAGTCACATGCTTCCAGTTACAGAAGTATTTTAAATGACGGAAATCAGTTTTGGCAATGTTAAATTAAAAAAAAAATAATATTCGACGAACAGCAAACTATAACTATATATATAATAACAGTTTATATATGTAGTTAGTCTAATAATAAATAACTAATAATATTTAATATCAGTTTGTTATTGTAAAAAACTAACAATCTTTAATGCCACTTTATTGTTATTCTCAAAAGGATATTTAACAGACCGTACAACAAAAATCCAACATCAGCAAAATCTAATGTTAATGATAAATATGAATGCTAAATAACGACAAATATTTTAAGAAGTCAGCACTTGTTCTTATTTGAAACTAAATTTGATCTTCTTTGAAGCTGCCATTCTAAGAATATGGAAAAAAGTAAACAATGTTTGGTGTTTGACTTATCAGGTTCAGTATTCCTCCTTACTTGCTTTGGGAACATTAAATGACCTGACTCGGAACAGGGAGCTTACTAAAGCTATGTTCAATAAATGTGGGAAGTAGACAAGATACACAGGAAGGGTATACGAAACCCTTTATTTTTCTTTCTTTACAATGATTTCCGGACTTCGGAATACAGAGACCAACCACTTGTGGTCTGAACGTAAGAATATAAAAATATGAACTAAACTCTAACTAAACTTTGGATTAATAAACACGTATCTACTTGAAGATTGGCCGTATATTAACAGAAAGGCCGTATGTAGTACAGAGAACTGTTAACACTACGATACGTTTAAAATTATCAAGAGGATTAAACCTCTGGCCTTGAAGGCAACCAGCAACCGAGTAAAACTGCAATGGCAAGCGGCCCGCTCCTAATCACTCCTTCCTCTCTCTCGCTTGGCAAAAAGCCACAACTTAAGTACTTGGCGTTCGCAAGACAAATTTGCATGAATAAGTTAAAGCTTTTAATTCTGGCCAGAAGTAGAAAATAAGAAGTGATAGTAAAGATTTAAAATAAAATAAACGTTAGTAAAACTTAAGATCCTTACAGACTTTTGATGCATTTTAGCAACATTAGCATGTTACCATCTTCAGCTGCAACAGAATGAATTCATTTTCTGCTGTAATTGCCATTTTTTATCCAGTTATTACGGAATATAAGTATCTTGTGGTATTTTAAAATAATAGGATAATATTTTGTTTTCAGTCTAAAATTTTATATTGTTTGGGTAATGAAGATGGGCTTTCAACTGAAAGAAATCAATAATTTCAAATTGATTCAAAGCATCATTTATTTATTTCTTCAGATTTCAAGTAAGATGGTGATATCTATGCTCCAATTATATTATTCTTATTGCAGGAAGACTAGCTATAGCCGCACTAGGGGCGTATTCCGCCAGCAAACATGCAGTCATAGGATTTTGCGATTCTTTGCGCCAGGAGATGTATCCATTTGGAGTGGAAGTAGTGACAGTAGAGCCTTTAGGATATAGGTTTGTATTCTTGCTAAAACGTCCTTCAAAAGTCATATTTTTAATATTTTGGGAAGAATTTAAAAAGTTACCAACAATATCTGCGCTCTTTAGGTTCTGTAACATTTATGATTTAAGTTTTACTGACCATTAGCTTCTTATCAGTGTTTTTTCCAAGTGCCTTGTCTAGCCCCGATAGTCGCAGAGTCCATTCTGCAATTTTTCGGCAATCGGCAAAATTTAAAACTGACATGTAATCTTAACTGGGAGCTCTACAGAATTTGTTCCGAAGTAGTTCCGCCTTACTGGCAGAGACATATCTAGGATTTTCAGCACCCGGGAACAACTGCAGATTTCGCGCCTCTTTTGTTTGCGTCTCCTCTTAGATGTTGCGCCAGGACACAGACACCCATTGCTTCTCCCTAACTTCGCCACTGCAAGTAATGCGAGCTGAGATAAAGTCAGAGACTTAATTATTAATTTACTGTCATTTACGTAACCAAACATTTGCTTTTTAAAATTTTACCCGCTTTTCATACAAAATTTCAGTTGTATAGACTAGAACAGCAACACAGTCTCCCTTATCAGCAACTTTTGGAAGTAATTTTTTACATGGCATCTTTTTTCCTGTGTCGTCATTATTCCCACTACCAAATAGCCACTCAACACTGGTAGCCAGCGAACCATTGAACACTGGTGCGTGTAACTTCCATGCAACACCGGAACGTTCAGAGCACGTTCAAAGAGCACGTCACTCGTTCTATGACGGTGTTACGAGCATTTAGAGCGTTCTACAAAACGTACTATAATGATCTGTGTTACAACAGTATTTTTAGAGTGTACAATAAAACGTACACCACTGGTATTTTTCAAAACATTTCCAGTAGGTACTGTGAAGTACGTTCTACATTACGTGTAAAGTGGTTCGTGTTGTAACTCTATTTTTTGAACGTACATTAAAATACGCAACACTGGAACTTTTCGAAACGATGCCAGCATGTGCTACAAAGTATGATGCATGTGCTACAAACGATGTGTTAAAGTGATGACTGTTATAAAAGTATGCTTAGAATGTTCATTAGAATCTATAACACTGATGCGCATGTGCTATGAAGTATGTTCTAGACGACGTGTTAAAGTGGTGTGTTACAACTATGCTCTTAAAACGCGCATTAAAAAGCACAAACTGGTACTTTTCTTAACGTTCCATGGATGAACTATAAAATGAATGTTCTACATGACGTGATAATGTAGTACGTATTACAACCGTGTTCTTAGGAAGTATATTTCAGCGTACAACGCTGAACGCTGATTTATTTTGATAAGCGCAGCACGTTTCGAAACACTCTCATCATGTGCTGTAACGCATGGATTACTAACGTACCCTTTAGAAAAATTACTTATATTTCAGATAACAATCAATTTATTCAATTTTGCATAAATACCTTAGTCTATATTTTTTATTTTCCATCGGAAGTGGTTATAGAAAACTTATTTATTAAAACTTTATTATATAAAAACTTTACTCTTACAAAACATTATCAATAAAAAAATATTAAAAGATAGCATAAAATAATATTATTTAAAAAATTTATATAATGCATATTTAATATAAATTGTTAGGGTTTTCAAAAATACTTAGAATAAGACCTTTTTTGAAATTAACGAAATAAATGCTTTTCAGTATCGAACAGTCTTATTATTATTGAATTTTACTGTCATGTGATAATTTTGCAGTAAGAGGAATTCTCTGTGAGGACCACCCAGGGTTCCAGGCTGTTTGGTCTTCTATGGAGGTGGTTTCTTCAAAGAGGTTCTGCTTAATACCGATATTAATTTGCAGTCTCAGCTATACTGCTTTCTTCCAGAAGTGGTCTCTTAGGTAGTCCCTCCGAGAGTGTTTGTTCCCTTTAGTCACTTTGTTGCTCTTTTTAATAAAAATGAATTCATAATTACTTTAAACAATAATTTATTTATAAGATATAAACTTATAAGAGCTAATCTGCTTTATTTTTGTTGACATTTATAAGGTAATTTCTTTAATGATCTGAATGGGAGAGTGTTAGCAGAATCGATTAGATACAAAATCCCATTCCGAGACTAATAGACCGGTTTGGGCTAATAAGTTGTGAATTGGCGACAATTTCTGTATAACAGAACGCCGACAAAAATTACAATTCAAAGTCAACTGGCTAAAAGTTTTGCAGGCCGGGTTGCTTTTGGATTTGAAAAAAATCCTCCATGTTAAGCCTACTTCAAGACACACGCAGTACATTTAAGCCACATGTATTATAAGGTATTAATCCCGCCTTCTTAACGAGCCTTCGCGGTGAAGTGGTCTGCACACTCAGCGCGTAATGGAGAAGTCCGTGGTTCGATTCCCGGCGAAGGCGGTTGCTAATTTTTCATCTTGCCTGCTTCCAAAAAAAAAAAAAAAAAAAAAAAAAAAAAAAAAAAAAAAAAAATACCCAATTTCTCTACAGTATAAACAGATATTTCGTGTTTTTAAAGGTTTTAAGAGCATATATTTTCAAATCATCTTAATAAATAACAGATTAAAATAAATTACGAAATTTTTATTTAGAGTGCGTTAAGCAGAAAACAAAATAGTAAGGCCTCACAGACTGTGCTCTGCATAACCCTTGATGGTTACTGAATCATGCATACTGTATGTCTTGTCACTTCTGGTACCTGAGGGTGGAGATATCTGATATATTTTCTTTCATGAATACGGTTTGTTTGTTAGGACGAATTTACCTTTATCTGTACTCGGCGTTTATTTGTATCACCCTTCAGATATATAAATACATTTATAACATAGATATATTAGTATACTGTATTAGAAAATTTATCTAACCTTCCTTTACTTCCTTGTAATAAGTAAAGAATGTAATGGGAAAAAATTTCGGGTAGCATATTTCAACGAAAATATTCATTTCTATCGCTCTCGAATACATTTGAACGATGTTTTTTCGTGACATCTGTACGTATGGAAGGAATAAAGGATTCTTTTTCCTAAAACGAATTGTAAAATGAAGAGTTTTTTTTTCGTGAGGTCTATAGAGGTACGTTCGTATATATGTATGTATTTCGCATAACTCAAAAACGAGTAGCCTCAGAACACTGAAATTTTGTATATGGGATTGCTATAACATATAGTTGAGCATCTTCGTTTTTGGTTGCAATAATTGTACATCTGTCAACAATTTAGAGGTTGTTTAAGTGCTACTAAGTCTAACGAAGCTGCCATTTATTTACATTTGAAACTTAGCAGAATAGTGAATTAAGTCAGTTTCTGCACCTTCAGTGTCTTTTTGCCGAGTGGGACCAAAAATAATCTCCCAGTTTTGCATACAGAAAAATCTGCCTTGTTACCCGCTGGCCGAATTGCTTATTTTTTCGCAGAAACTCTATTTTAATTGTAAACATTTTTTAAAAAACTGCATTTGATGTCTTATGTTTTTCTGTATTTTAAAATTTTTAATGAAGGTGTTTAGAATTTTATGTATTTTTGCTTTGCCGCGGAGTGAGAACTGAATTGATCGAATGAGAAATTACCTCTTATAAAATTTGAGGAAATAAGTTTAAATTAAAGGAAACAGAAAAGGTGTATAATTTAATAGACAGTACAAAGACGTCATGTGAAGTCCACATCAGATTTTTGTGTGTATGTGTAATCAATGTATAAAGCAATTAATTGTCTTCTGAAAATTTTTTGAAATGCTTTATTTATGTTGATAAGATCAAAAAGTGATTTATTTGTGTTTTTCATGAGAGGTAAATAAAAGGAATTTAAACTTAATTTCAGAACTGACATGGTTCGTAACGGAGTAACCAGTCTTCAACGGACATGGGAATCAGCACTTGCAGAAGTGAAGGCTTTATTTCCAGAAGATTATTTTGAAACGAGATTGAGGCCAGGGAGCAAAGCGTTTGATAAATATTTTGTAAGTGATAATTTGCAGGAAGTTATTAATTGCTTGAAGGAAGCAGTTATGGCTAAGAATCCAAAATGTTCATATCGACCGGGAAAGATTCTTGGTCAAATATATTTCCATGTTGCGAATCTCTTACCTCAGTCACTTACAGATTTCTTCCTTCTGAAGCACTAAAATAATTGCATGATAAAACCATTCCGATATTATCATCGAATAATAATTCACAATTATATTCTGTAATAGTTTTATTGCTGAGGAATTGCAAATAATTGCATTAAAAGGGACTGCAGCCTGTCTGGGTACTCAAGAACTCAAGACAACTAGGTTGTCAATCCCACTTACCGCGTAGACCGAAGACGTATGTCTAATAACAAAAGCGAGGAAATTTATTTAGAGTTTATTACAATTTATGAAAAGAAACATTTTAAAAAGAAAAAACTAAATACTTGTATTTCTGTAAAATAAAACACAAAGGACATTTTTATCAATAAAATAAAGCAAACTGCTTTTTATATCACATGAGGTATTTTCATCTACTGCAATTTCAACTAAAATAAGACAGTAAAATCAAATCTATTTTTATAGGTCCTAAAGTAAATGTATCATGCTAATTTTATTGAATAAAAAAACCTGTTTTTGGACACAAAACATACAGCCATGTTCTGTTTATCTTAGTTACACTGATACCATTTTATTAATATGAAACAATAAAATAATAATACTAGTAATATATTATGTCATTTTTTATTGTATAAACTTTTATAGTATTTATCAACAAAACATAAAAACTGTATGGAAATTTTAAAAAATGAAAATTTCTTTACCTTTGAAAACTTTATTAATTAAATTAAAAAATAGTAACTCTTTATGCTTTGTGATGTGATTAGTATTTTGAATACCTTTTTTTAAATGATTTAAGTCCAGATTTCAGTAAAATATTTTTCAAATTAAAAATGTAGTGAATTTTCTCAATTTATGAAAATTGGTGAGAGATTTTATAGAGAATGCTTTTAGGGATATACGTAGGCAGATATCCTCGAGTGTTTTGACATAGCCAAAAAACTAACCAAATCATAGGAATATATGACTATGTGATATGCGTGTTGGCTTTCTATGTTTCCACAAATCATGACAGCCTTATGAAAACTTATTAGGAAGGAATTTAAATAATTTGATATTACGTTTCAATAAATTCTTCAAAGAGCAAGAACAACTATTCAGAGCACTTGTTCTTCTATTCTTTGTTCTTTCATCAGTATTTTTTCTTCTATTCTTTCTTCATTCGTCCTCTTTCTTCAATATACTTTTTAAAACTCTGCAGTGTTAATTCCAATGCAAGATCCTACATTTTGTTCCAAATTACATGTGCATTATCCCAACTTGTTGAGGTTTCTTTACATTTCTTACTGGTATTATGTTGGTAGCGTAGCAACTGAAATACGTTACAGTCTTAAATTCCTTCCCTCCCGGGGAACTTTTCAAAGAAAAGTTTTCCTTTCAATCTGATGGAACGTTCAAGAAAATTTTCAGTTTAAATATATTAAATATTTTTACAAAATGTTCAATCATATCTGTAACAAATACAATTAGATACCTGACCAAATTAGTACAAGTGCTTCCAAATAACCATTTTAAATAAACATATAAAATTTAATATTCTACTATTAGAAAAATTTAAACAATGAAGTTTCAAACTTCCTAGAATATGTATTTTTTTGTTTTGAGATGTTTGGGTACAACGACTTAAACTGTCAGCATTTTGATGGTGCTTCCTCTTTCGATGCGCAACATCATAGTTAAAAGGTTGCAAGATCAAAGCCCATCGTAATAGTCTAGGATTAGTCCTAGTGTTTTAATCCAGCCATACAAAAGGATTATGATCAGTTTGAATGATGAACTTATGAGGTCCATCTAGGTAGAATTTTAACTTTACTGCAAAGACTATCGCAGCACACTCCCTTTACTTTTAAATACTACAGTATTTCTGTTCAGTAGGTGAAAAAATTTTACTAAGAAATATTATTGGATGTTCTTCGCTTTTAGCATTTATCTGTGATAATACAACACCAATACCAATATTCGAAGCAAATTTGCCACTTTAATACAAGGGCTCAAATTTTAAAAGAACATCGTAAACAGGCTAAATATTTTGAAGCTTTAATCCAAAAGCTTAACCTTAGAATATCTTTTTATAAGTTGAATTCAATAATAAGATGAAACATTTTCATATAAAATGGCACAGTATTCATAAAAACTTATACTCACACGTACTGTATTTCTTTTTTTTTTTGAAATGAACACTGATTTCACCTTTCTATCCCAGCGACTACCACCAGATATGTATTCTTTTATACGTCTGTAATGAAGTTTTAAAGAAATCTCGCCATTTTTTGATCGAACAGCGAACTTTATTAGTCAAACTTACACAGCAACTAAAAAACATTTTAAACGCGTGCATCTTCCTGCACGGATATTCTATACGCCAGCTTTTTTTACATTTCTTACCAGTAGCGTAGCAACGCAAATACATTACACTATTACAGTGTATGTTTTTCAAATTATTAACACATTCGCAGTATTGATTTTGTGCTTAAGCTAATTAAATGTTTCAGACTTTATCGCATTAATTGAGCAAACTTAACACTCTAATTATGTTGCTTGTCTAAGTCTGCTTAGACAAAAAGAATGCTGTGAGTCTGCCTAGACAAAAAGTGCTTTATTGTCTGTGAGCCTTTCTTATGAAATTTAAAATGTGGAGTATGTTTTTATAAAAATGAGTTTTTAAAAGTTTTATTGAACTACTGTATTATAAAAAGGCTTTTTAAAATTTTTGTAAGTTCTCTGTATGTGATAATTATCATTTCTGTTTTTATTCGCGGTATTTGCTTGTAACTTAATTTTTTCTGAAACTTATTAATAAATGTTTTTTAATTTGAAGTTTTTAAATTATATTCTAATTAATGTACATTTCACTAACCTTCCATATTTCATTTTATTGTTCTGTATAAGGTCTTTTTTACCTGCTAATTTTTTACCTGTACCATTGATGTGCGTTGGCATTGATGCAAATTTATGACAAAAATTTAAAATGATTGTCTTGTTCAATACGTACATAAATAATCCCATTAATATAAAATATCACATACATACCAAGCCTTTCTGCAACTCTGCGTTTTTATTTTAAGAGATCATCAATTTATTAACATAGTTTATAATAAATTATTTAAAGCGTTTTTTCTTTTCTAGCATTTTGGAAGGTAATATTGTCGTCGAAATAATAGCAAGTTAGTAATTTGGTAATATTTGCATATTCTGAATATATTTAAAAACAAATTATTTGTTGATGGGGTTGATAATTTTGTGCCGTTTTCAAACACAAAAAGCAACTAATGATCATAATAATAATTTTAACAAGGAATGCTTAATTTATTCAATTGTAAAATAGAAGATAATGTTCTTAACAGTAAAATAAAATAACAACAATTCAAACTTGTGATGACTTTCACAACAAATGTTGCATCATAGGAGGAAACAGTGTGTAGTATAGAAGACAAATATGTGGGTATATGGGGAACAGCTCTGATGTCTTGAAATTATTTGATCTAAGTATTTTACATCCAAGTTCGACCTTGACAAAGAAACAGCGTAGTATTCTTAATGCTGTTCTACTGATGAGAGATAAACAGCTTAGCATATAAATACAAATATTCATTTTTAATATTTAAGTTTTTATACACATATAACATATGTAATATCTGATACGATATTCAAAAGATATTAAATCCTAAATAAGGCATATAAATGATGTGTGAATTTACAAATCAAATTCGTAATAGACATAGAAACACTTAGCTAGTTATAATTCAATTCAAATTCATATTCAATGATTACAAAATCCTTACTATATGCTAAGAATAGGTGAGTAGTTACATGCTTTTATATTAAGAGTTTCGACAGAGTTACCTTGTATCTTCTTGATTATAAAATATTTTTATTAAAATTTGAAAGATGTAGAAAAAACATAAAACACCATGTACATTAAAACAATTGAGAAAACAGTTTTTACAATTAAAATTACAGTTTCTACGCAAAAACAAGCTAATAACTTAAGTGATAATTCGAGAATGGATTAAGCATAACTTAATTCGCAATATTAAAAGAAGACGTTACTTTGCTGTTGCGAATCTTAGTTTCTCTAGATTGGCAACAATCCACTATTCTGCTAAGTTAACGATTTCGTCCAGAAAATAGTCCTAACGAATAGCAGATGTATATTTTCCGCTAACCAGCGAGTCCGTACTTGAAAGCTCACTAAAAACAGTCGAAAGGACCTCTCTTGAAGCAGCGGGTTCCAAAGGCACACTCTTTAGCTTGGTAGAATGAACGCAGGTACGAGTCATTTAAATTACCGAGGAATTAAAGAATCAGAATCAAGGAAGACACTCAGTAAGCAATCTATGTATAAGACGCCGTATACTGGAGCACTTCACACTGGTTATAGCTCTTGTCATCACAGTCAGAAACAGAAACTTTACATAATTCTCAGTTGAAAAAACACGAAAACAGTGAAACAGTGCTTCCTTAAACATCAACAGACTCGAACATTTCATTAGTCATCACTTCATCTTATGAAAACAGCATATTTTCCATATTCCTCTTTCTTACCACTTTCGTTAAACCACACACTAAATAATAACTTTATTCGTAATATTGATCATCACTTTCAGGTCGATTCATAGTCGCTAAATTTTTTTTGTACTCATTAAAAAAATCAGGTGAATTAAAAAAAATAATTTTTCTTTTTCCACTTTTAAATTTTGTAAACGTATTTTTTTCACTATTTTCATTTTCTTCTCATTTGTACTAAATTAAATAATCTTTTTTTTTCTTTAATCTTTTCACATTTTTTGCTTTTGCAAAAGTAAGAGTATTTTTTATAATTTTTTCTTTTTACTTTCTTTATTTTATAAAAGGTTTTTTTTGTTTTACAAAAGTAAAAATTATTTACACAAGTTTAATTTTTCCTTTCTCCTGTTTGTTTTAAAAGTTTTTTTGATCACAAACTTTTCCTTCAAAAAATAATTTTCTTTTTTCTTATCTTTTTTTTTTTTTTTCAATTTTGCAAATGTAAATCTTTTAATACATTTTCAAAGTTTTTTCTCACATTTTTATCAGTCCAAAAGGGGCTATTAGATTCGAAATGGGATTTTGCGTTGGTTCATAATAAGCGGCATATTTTCAAATTGTTACTACCAAATACTATAGCCCTGCGTTATTTTTAAAGAAATCAAATAATGAAAAATCTGTACATATGTCTACGTATGTGCCTCGTGCATCAACGGTACCTAGAGCATCCAGTTTGAAACAATGTATCCTGCACCCGAAGATATAAATTTGTAAGTCCAAATTTTGAATTTTGAATTTGCGTTATTATTTATTTATTTCATATTTTTGAAACTTTTAAGGAATTTTTCTTTAACAAACTCAACAATTTGAATACGATCAGTGGCAACACAAAATTAAAAAAAAAATCATCTCCAGCATTCGAGACTGTTGCTATTCGGCAAATTATAAGATTGTAAGATTGTTATCCTTTAATTTTAATTAACAAACTCGGCTTTATAAAAGAAATCAGTTACCCCAGCCGGAAATAAAATACTGTTATCTTCCACGCCCCAGCGTTTTGACATTCGGTTAAACCTAAAATACTAGTTTGAAATCTAGTCTGGAATAATATTGATTAATAATTGCCTAAGCTATTTAAAAATATATATAAACATAGTTCTTAAGAATAATGTTTATGTATTTTTTTTGTGAATAATATTGTAGAATCGGTACTTACTGTCTAGGAATATTACATCTGGAAACTTACTTCTTTTGTGGCTGTTTTGGGGCTAATAAACTAGTCCAATTTACAAGTAACTTGAATATTTAATTGAAACATGAATAGTTGCTACAGACTACAAAATGATTACATGTGTAGAAGGATGAATTTACATAGATGATATTTACAGATGAAGAGAATCGACCGTCTTTTACATGTTAACATCTTTCAATCGCATCATCGTCTTAATGGCGGAATCGTCTGACTTCTATCATCAGAAAAGGAAAAGATTTATTCTCACAGCTTGTCACGTCATCCGACTATAATGAACGATGCCATCCCACAATATAAATAACCACGTATTAAAGTTACGATATGTCTAATTAGAAATATTCAATATTTTTATGATATTGCACTAGTTGGACTCGTTGAAATCATTACTTATTTTTTTTTTTTTTTTTTTTTGGTGGCTTATTTTTAAGAAAGTAATATGGAGAATATAAAAGTAGTATATATAGCAGTCTCTAACACTCCATCAGGAGTTTCAAATCAGGACATAAAGTTCTGCTATTTTTAAATACACTCATGTCCATAAATTAAGGATAATTCGGAGTCACGCTGAAATCGAATTCTAAAATAAATATATAACCTGTAAAATCACTACACACATCTTCAAGAATCATATGCAAATTTCAGGAAGTAACCAGATGACACCGATGGTACGTCACAATGACGAGAGTGTAAGAAAGTGATATATAAGGAATACAGGCAAAGAAGTAAAATTGTTCGCGGGCGCTTTATAAGCATTTCAGTGCAATAACCGAATAGTTATGACACAAAGGACGCATTTGGATGATTTTTTACGTGGTAGAATTATCGGCCGTCTGGAATGTGGGCGTACCCAACTGGAAGTATCAGACGAACTTGGAATTGCCCAGAGTGTCATTTCCAGGCTTTGGCAACGATTCCAAGATAATGGTAATGTGAGTAGACGTTACAGAACAGGTCGCCTCAGAGTTACAACGCCGAATGAGGACCGGTATTTGGCAGTTGCTGCCAAAAAAAAAAAAAAAAACAGGCGGAGCACAGCCTCAGACCTGTCTCGTCAGCTCTCTTCAGCCACTGGTACGACAATTTCAAGGCAGACTGTGTACACACGCTTAGGGCAGATTGGTCTATATGTTCGTAGACCTGTCAGATGCGTTCCACTTAATGCAACTCACTGTCGCCTGCGGTTAGCCTGGAGTAGAGAGCATGCATTGTGGACACCGCAACAGTGGGCTTGTGTGATGTTTTTCGACGAGTCCAGGTTTAGATTGCAGTCTGATTCTCGCCGGACTTTCATATGGAGAGCTCCAGGTACCCGTTACCACCAAGAAAACATCATTGAACGACACCGTTACGGTGGTGCAGGAGTGCTCGTGTGGGGTGGAATTATTCTGGGTTCCAGAACTGATCTGCATTCTCAAATTGGAACCATGACAAGCCAAATCTATCGGGACGTCATTCCGGAACAACATGTACGTTTCTTTCAGAGCGCTATGGGTGCACAATTTGTGTTTATGGATGACAACGCCCGTCCTCACCGTGCAAACATCGTAAGCGAATGCCTTCAATTGAAGGATATCACCCGTATGGACTGGCCAGCATTCTCACCGGACTTGAATCCGGTAGAGCACGTGTGGGACATGCTTGGTCGACGAGTTGCAGCCCGTCAACCTCCTCCTACATGTCTACCGGAACTTCGGAGAGCATTACGTTTTGAGTGGTGTAATAGCCCCCAAGATCAGATCGATAATTTGATACTCAGCATGCCTAGGCGTTGTACGGACTGTCTTGCATCGTCTGGGAGACATACCATGTATTAACAATCATACCAACCATGTAATATTGTTTTTTTGTAAATAGTTTTTTTTGTAATTTGCTCCAGGGAGAAAAAATCGCTAATTTTTTTAAGAATATCAAACATATAGCATCTTTTTTTGCTCTTTACCTATTGTTTAATAAATAAGCTTTACAAATAAGTTAAATTTGTTTTGCTTCTAACTCTTTCTTTGCCTGATTTTGCATTATCTTAATTTATGGACATGAGTGTATTTTGTAGATTTTGCTA